AAACTACAGATCAGGGAAATTTTTTTTTTAACACTATAATCATCAAAATCGGTCCAAAAATGAGGGAGGAGTTCTGTTAACAAAGATCGGCTTAGTGTATTTTTATTATCCTACTAATATTATAAATGAGAAAGTTTGGATGTATGGATGTATGTATGTTTGTGACAAGTAAACACGAAAAATACTGGTTGGATTGGGCTGAAATTTGGCATGATCATAGCTCACATTCCCGATTAACATATAGGCATATTCTTATCTCAAAAATCCTTTTGGGCTCCGCCCCAGTGGCTCTGCAGTTCCCCATGTTAACCTTATGAGTATTCATATTTAGAGGGAATTAAAGAATTTAGCCAGCTGTTTCAACTAAAAGAGTTGGTTCTATGATATGCAAAAGCATTAAAAATTTATAGGATTTACCAACAGGGTGCAGCACTATAATTTTTTTCATTATTTATGCAAACAGCTAATTTGAACTAAGCAGCAACAAAAAACTGTGATAATGAGAACTGTCAAAGTAGGATTGTTTACAGTTGTGTTTATGTTTTTAATTTCGTAAATAATTTATGATATTTTGCGAATTTTTAATAATCTATCTTTCTCTATTGTGTAGGTGAAGTAGTAGAACATTATGGCTATGGTAGATGTGTAATACTATCGTACTATTTGAGGAAGCAAATTTTCTCAAACCGTGTTTTCTCACATCGCAAACGCAAAGATCGGGTATAACTGTAATAAGCATTTTATACTTATTTGCCAACCCCGTACGAAGGACGGGTACTCTGCTAGTTATATATATAGATGAGAAAAATTGGATGTATGTATGTTTGTGACAAGTAAACGCGAAAAATACTGGTCGGATTGGGCTGAAATTTGGCTTGATGATAGCTCACAATTCCCGATTAACATTTCATATTTAAAGGAAATTAAAGAATTCAGTCAGTTGTTTCAACTAAAAAGTTGGTTCTATGACATGCAAAAGCATTATAAAGTTATAATCTACAGGCTGCAGCACTTTTATTTTTGTACATTTATGAAAACAAGCAGCAACAAAAAAATGTGATACGCAATGAGAACTGTCAAAGTAGGGATTTTTATAGTTATGTTTATGCTTTAAATTTCTTGAATAATTTGTGAAATTTTGTGAATTTTTAATAATTAATTTTTCTCTATTGTTTAGGTGAAGTGGTAGTATGGCTATGGTAGATGTGTATTACTATAGTATACCTTAAATTTAAAGAATCGGCTTGTACGTAATTAATATAAAGATATGCCAACCTCGTACGAAGGACGGGTACTCTGCTAGTAGTTAAATAAGGAGAGAAGTAGTCAAAATACTGTACCGCTATCTAGTAGAGACACTTTCAGAAGTGTACATACAGTAGTTGGAACCCTGTCAAAGTCAGGAATGGGCATACGGGAGGGACGATGGCTAAAGTTGTGGTGATGTCATATCTATAGTGGCTAATGTCTTCTCTTGAGGCAACACGATTACCGTAACGAGACGATGTGTTTCCAGCAGCGGTCGTGGGATAGTTGATAGCGCATCGGACTAGTGTTCAGGAGGTCTCGGGTTCGAAACCCGCTGGGGATACTAACTTTTTGTCAAAGATTTTGCTTTATTTGATTTTTATCGTATTTCTTTTTTAAATTATCAGCAAGTTTGGTTGGTTAGGTTAGTTTATGACAGTTTAATTTTATAATACTAAATGTTCAAATTGATTTTATAATTAAAAATTATAAGTAAACACTCATTTCATTTTTATCATATCTATTTTTTATATCATCAGCAAGTTTGGTTGGTTAGGTTATGACAGTTTAATTTTAAAATTAAAAAGTTCATTTTTTAACTAAAAATTATGAAATTAATTTAAATTTTTCAACTTAGCGGTTCTAGCGGCGAACGCTGACACTATGTTAGCCATCGTCCCTCCCGTGTGCCCCACCGGTCAAAGTCAGACTGTATAATAGCCTACAGTTAAATAAACTATCATAGAAACATTATACTTTGATACCCAACAATAACTTAAATCTTTATGTCATTCATAGCTGGAATCAGTTGTGGTTTCATTAACACTTTGGAATAAAAATTCTTCCTATAAATTTTCATTAGCAACTTTCATATTTTTTTCATTTTACTACTCAAGTCTTTAAAATTATCCAAACACATTACTCCATGAAAAATATTCTGTAGTTCCTATATGGACAGTACAAGTTTGTATATACTCAGTTTTCTTTCTGTCAATGAATAAATTCTTCTCAACACGGTACATATATATCATAAACCTCTCCTGAACAAATCAATATAACCCACATAAATAAACAGCCAAATAATAATATTTAGAATCAATTCTTTAGTTTGCTTTCAGGCAATAATAAAGCATTATACTATTTTTATAAATTATTTATCTATTACGAAGGCTATTCAGAAAGTAAGGAACGGTAGGCGCGCGCCGATTGCGTACATCTTGGTGCGTGAGTACTCGGCAACTCAGTCGGCGTCTAGCCGTGACAACGGAAACATCCTTGCGCTGCATGTATTTTGCAATCTCAACTTATGATGTGTGCTGCGATTGAAAATCCTGCCAGTTGTGAGGTGCGGTCAGTGATAGGCAAACAACCTAAAACCGATAGAAATTCATCGCCAAGTGAAGTTTGCGGAGAAAACATAATTAATGAAAGTTCCGTGCGAAAATTGTTCATTCAGCTCAAAAATGGGCGAACTTACGTTCGTGACGAAGCAAAGAGCGGACCTCATTGTGACTGATGAACTGGTTGCTAAAGTTGATGAAAAGGTTTCCGAAAACCACCGATAAACGATAACAGAGCTTTCACTTTCTTTCATACAAGTTTCACGGACTTTGTTATTTGAAATTGTCACACAAAGGTTAGGCTACCATTAATTTTGCACAAGATGGGTGCTGAAAATGCTCACGGACAACCATATAAAGGTCACAAATGGGGGCATCTATGACATTTCTGGATGCCTACAACAGACATGGTGAGTCACTACTGGATCGCATCGTAACTGGTGATGAGACGTGGGTTGAATACGTTAAGTGTGAAACAAAATAACAGTTCATAGAGTCGGGGCACACAAGCTCCCCGTAAAAACCAAGAAAAGTTTGCAAACATTTTCAGCAAGGAAGATTATGGCGACAGTTTTTTGGGACAAGTGTGCTTCTTATTGACTGTCTTGAACGTGGTGCAACAATAAACTCTGAGTGGTACTGTGAAACTTTGCGCAACCTTAGGAGAGCAGTTCAAAACCAGCGCTGAGGGAAATTTACGTCGTAAATTTTATTTGTGCATGACAATGCCTGACCTCACACAGCAAACAGCACCAAATAACTCCTTTGGCTTTTTCAAATGGAAGGTTTTCCCTCATCCACCCTATGGTCCTGACCTTGCACCAAGTGATTTTCACTTGTTTCCAAGAATGAAGACCTGGCTAGCAACACAGCACTTTGACGACGTGGAGCTCAAGGCGCCCGCCACTGAGTGGCTGAGATTGCAGGCGGCAGACTTCTATTTTGAAGGAATTTCAAATCTTGTGCACCTTTACGATAAGTGTCTCAATCGGTTTCGGGACTACGTAGAAAAAGAAAAAAGAAAAGTAATATTTTAGTTGCTCTTTCAGATGAACGAAAATATGTTTTACTTTTTAGCGAATTTCCCATATAGGGAATAAGCTATTACCGTAGTACTCATGGTAAGACCTGGACCCGGGACCGATTTTTTTTTTCGTTTTGAGGTCCCTAGAGGCCAAAAACACCATCCGTTCAAATTCATATATATATATTTATAGATGTGTCCGTTAGCGCGATATCTCGAGCAAAAACGATCCGATTTTGATGAAATTTGGAACAAACGTGTAAACCTACGTTTATTCGAACGAGTTAAGGAACCAGCATGATCGGACCATGGGAACGGGGGTTTATGGGGGGTTTTATGGGGTAAAAATGGGTTTTTCCCACTTTTGACTCAAAAAACATAAAATTTTGCAATTTCTTTCCAAATCATTTTGTAGAGCTTAAAAAAACAAATAATTTAGTATATTGAAGCGCTATAATGCACCTAATGGTTACAGAAAAAATTCCAAAAATTGTAAATTTAAAATTCCCATGTTATTATTATGGAGAATAAGTAAACTGTTGTAGTTTGCTTGTTTATAAACATTTTTTGCCCAAATTTGGAAAATGTTATTATTTTTTACTAACTATTAACATTTTACATAAAAAACACTTTTACCCTCCCTGTTGCAGCAAACCTAAGTATGTGTTAAACTGATTCTATTTAAATAGGGAATAAATTAATGTGATATTTTTAAGGAGACATTTTAGTGTAAATCCAATCAGGCAAATGGACATTCGCTTAGTCTGCAGGTTTGCTGCGGCGGGGATATTATTTTATTTAGAAACATTCCTTACTTTCTAAAAAGCCCTCGTATATCTCAATTTCCCTGTAGTTGAATGAGTGGAGAGTGCACAGAGTCTGTTCAATATGCAATGCTATGTTTACTGTGCAGCACAGATAAAACATTACTGAAAACATTATGTTGTTGTCTTGCAATTTCTATCAACTGTTCTTAAAATCCTTGTGAGGTTGCTAAAGTATATTTTACTCATTATTTCTGTAATGTTAAGCTTTTTTTAGATTGATATTTTTATTTGGTTATTTGGATTTTGAATTTGGTATTGTAAAGATTTGTACAATACGAATACACATTAGAAAATATCAAGGATTAAGAAGCATTTCCTGATGTTTATATTGTCATATAGACTGCTCCGTACTGCTTGGTGAACACGGATAGGAGTAAAGTTACTATAAAAAATACTGTAGGGCCATACATATATTTATCCTCATAGATATATCCCCCCCAAAAAATAATGTTACCGCAAAATTTAAAAAGAGCTTCCATAGTTGTATGGTTTCATGTGCTTAGTCTGGTAGCTTGTGTTGCCTCTTTGTTGTCACTAATCCACATTTGCGTGGTGACGCAGTGTTTTGCGCAGGTCAGCCAAGCGTACAACGTCGTTCCCCCTGAGTGGAGTGTCAACGCCGCCCCCCTCCATCAGCTCTGAGCGACGCCACGACAAGCTGTGACGATGGTCACTGCTCTGCGGTCACCGAGACAACGTTTAGCTGTATTTGTTGTTTCTCCAACCATTACCAAGTATTGCGGGCATTCTTGTATAAACAGGTTTCAAGTTAAAAAAAAAAAAAAAAAAAACTACTTTGTTTTATGAATACCTAAATTCCATCGTTTTATTGTCACTTAAGGTTTTGCAAAGAGACCTTTTTAAGTTGCTAGTTTCATTACATATGAAGGTTGTATTTAGCATTTATATATATATTTTTTTTCTTCTTAATTTTGTATTTTCCAACATGAAACCTTTGATTATTTTTTTGTATTTATTTTGGTAATATTATTTATAGTATTTATTTTTATTGTATTTATATTATTTTGTAATCTTTTAATTTTATTTACGTTTGGAAATTATCAATTAAAATAGCACATGTTGTAAAAAAGATATCCTAAAAGTTTGTATCTGTTATTTTAAAATGTACACAGGACTTACAGACATAATAACAAGTGTTTTGTGCAGAAAGCTCGCAAGACCCACGTTACTAGTTTGTAGTTAAATGTGCGTGTGTAGCCGAGATCTCACACTCTAATGGCTGTGAGCGATTGAAATTATAACGAACTGTCGTAAATTGTACAGGTGATATTGTTTGCATTCCTTCACTACAACTCCTTTACATAATAACTGTAAAAAAATTAATTTTTTTTTTATTTTTTATTCATGGTTAAAAACTAAATTTAAACTGAAACACAAAGCTGTTATATCTTTAAAATGCTCACTTTCTAAACTGGAGATTGCCTGTTTGACCCTGTGAAGTATTGTTTCTGGATTTATTCACTATTTTTCATTGGGCTATAAGTTAACAATGCTTTCTAACAACAGGTGTAAGTTAAATAGTAAAAGTACCAAGGTTTAATATGTTTCCATTAAAAAAAACAAGCGCATATATGCAACGCTTGGATATGCAAAGAGATTGAAACATTTTGTGAACATTTCAAATTGGTTAGGTTTTGCAAATGTGAGTAGGTACCTCGGAGCACTTATGGAATTTTGAGCAGTCTCCTAGTCTACCAGTAATCAGTATTGACGAACTATTGTAAAAGGTTGAGTGATTAATTTCTACATTGAACCATTAGTACTTTTACTTCTGGTTACTACTTTACTTGACAGTTGATATTAAACCTGAACCTAATTCAAGTCTATGTATTAAACAGTGATTCAACCCCTCTTTACTAATACAGCTAAAGAGTTGAATTTAAAGCCATGACGTGAACATTAAGAAATATAGTTTAAATGATTTGTTTATTGTGAATGACTAACAGACTAACCATCCTCCATTCCAGGTGCCTTATCAGTCTGCTTAGTACTGTTTTTCTGTTCTCAGCTGTATCATCTGCACAGTTTACAAGTTCTCACCATATGACGCTTATAGATGTTAACACTCTCTGCAACTAAATGTTGTGTGTAGAATAGAGTTGTTGCTCTGTATATAAACTGAATGTTCTGTCTTTAAAGTTTATCGATTGTTTAGAGTTTTTAACGATGTATTTATATTTTATAAAGTGTTTATACATATTCTAAAAGTTTTACTCAATAGTTTCACAAGTTCAAATATGTTGTTAGACATTTTTTTTCTTTTGTGAAATTTAGCTATAAGTTTCACGCTGTAAGATATATTTATACAGTGTTGTAAATGGTAGTTTTGTGTTTGCTTCCAATTACAATTTGCGTTTTACAATTGTTTACCCTGTTCCAATCGCTGTTTCTGTTATGTTTAATATTGATCTCCTTTGTCGATGTTTAGTGGCTCGTATTTCTTGTTATCATTAGTCAGAAGTTGGTCATAAGTTGTGCTTTTTTTCATTGTAGTTCTCCGTGTTGGATTCTTTTGTGAATGCCTAGCTAGACCATGTAGCTGTGTGTTGTAAATAATAAACTGTAAAAACTGCATTTAAATTTTTATGCCCTTAAATCAGTTATACTTGTAATACTTTTTCCATTTGTGATTTTATACTACTAATTGTGATTTCTGATTTAGATTTTCCCCTGGTTTTGCTTGGTTGCACATTATAATTGTGTTCTCTCGTCGAATACTTGCGCTTCCTTTTCAAAATCACAATTATGAAACTGAGAAGGGTCAATGGAAATGAAACATAAAGGTGACATATTCTCACTTATTTACCTTACTTATTAGTATTGTTGTATTTTAAATCCTTGTAAATATGTACATGTTAACTTTATCTTTATCATTCATTACCAATTTTACTATGTTAAATATTTTTTACGAATTGTTCTATTATTTCTACGCTTTTCATTAGATATACAATAAAGGCCTAATATTTACATATCATTTGTGGATTGCGTTGAAATTTCATGTCTATGTATTGTTTGTAGCAAATGTTTATTAATTATTGTCTACAGTTTATTTCTTCTGAAAAAGACTACGGTTCCTTATTTAAGAATCTAAAATTAAGTGTTAATGTATTTGCTAACCCTAAAAACTTAGGAGATTCCCAAAAGTGTCTAGTTGTTTAAAAAGACAAAATTGGTTAATATTTGTTTTAAAAATAGATTTGTTGAAACAAAGTATTTAAGTATTTTTGTGATAAAATTTCTTAAAAGTGCTCTCTTACATTGATATTGTTAGTGTTATTGTTTTTTAGTGTTTGTGAACTAATAGATAATTATCTGTTTACCTGGTTTTATCCCCAGTTTCACTTTAGATTCTAGAAGACTGTCAAGAAACTTTTAAAAATTGTGTAATTGTAATTACTCCCTTCAAATACTCTTAATTAGCATGTTTAACTTCACCAATAAAATAACATTGAACCTACTGAAATAGTTTAATTAAACATTTTGACATCTCTAAGCAGGACTCAAACATAAAGCTATATCTTACAAGATTAGCCCTTTCATACGGTATTTTTAAACTTTAAAACCAGGTAAGCAAATAATATCCCTACCTATTCCTACAATGTGCCACGAGTTAATCTTAAGTGTTTTCATTGACTATACACAGATTTGTATCGTCAATACAAATATACAGATTTCTGTGTATACTCAATGGCGTTAGTTATTTAAACATTGTTGTTTTTATCATTGAGAGAATATTATTATGTATGGGATGAAAAAGACCGTGTTGTAATAGTAGGTGAAAGCCTTTTAACTGTATTAAAAAATCATTGCTTTTTAATTTTTACTAATGTCTTCTTGAAAAAGAATTATAATTTGTGTAAAAATTGTTACAAAGTCTTATCATTATGGTTAACTCTTCCTTTCACCGACCACCATTATATTATATAGCCTAAATATTTTACTTTTAATACATTTTACAAGCAATGTGTACAATCTTTGACTATTAGTAAATAGTACAATATACAGTAGAGTCCCGCAAACTCGGCGTAATGTGGACTGGAAGGGTGCCGAGTTTGTGAAATGCCAGGTTATCGGGAACTAGAGTTAAAAATAAGAACAATACAGTTATTAAGCTTTTTAACCGCCTTTTTTATTTATATTTATATTACAAGTCAGTATTAAGTCATCAGATATAGTACAAAAAATCCTTAGTACCAGTTGCGAATAATTTTACTTAAGCTGGCTTGAGTCCGTGATTAACTCGGACTCAAAAAATCACTAATTTTTTGAGCCAGGTGATGGCCGAGTTATCCAGACTGCCGGGTTATCGAGTGCCGAATTTGCGGGACTCTACTGTAGTCAAATTTATTTGATAAAAATGTATAAAATCCAATATTTTTAATGATTTATATTTTAAAACAAATTATGAGTTTTTGCTTATAGTTCAAGGTATATGGATGAACTGTTACAAAAACAATCACCTTTCTCGTATTATTGTTTTGCGCAAGCTTAAATCAAATTTTGTCTCATGTCACCATAAAACTGTTATGAAAATATAAACATTGTTATTGCTAAGTGTGTTTTATTTATTTTAATCACTTTCTCTTTTATTTTTATTTTTTATTTTTATTTTTATTTCTATTTTTATTTTGGGTTGTGAAGGTTGTAAAAAGCAAGACATGATAATAATGATAATTTCGTGGTTTTGTGTGCTTAAGTTATAGGAGCAAATTTTAAAACCATAACATGGAAGTAATTATAGATTATAGTACTGTAATTATAAAGACAAAAAATTTGAATTTTTTTAAAATTTTAGATAGTGATATAAATGTTTTTTTTCAATCCTCTCTGGCACACTCATTTTAAATGCATCTTCTATTCCATTTAGATTCCTGATGCAATTTTCTTTTATTTTCTGCTGAAATTTTGATTCCTAAAGTAATCCAATTTTTCTTTTTTGTGTTTTACTTATACTTAAATTAACTGTTTTTGGAAAAACCCCATTAAATACATTTAGAAATGTATTAAGAAAGTTGTTGTAGTTTGTGTCTACATTTGGTGTGTTAATATCATAGTGTGCATTCTTTAAAGCCATTTTGAAAGTTTTAAAATTTTGTTCTGTAAATTTACGAGTTGTTCTTGGTTTTCACATCTGAGTATTGGAGAAGAACAGCTGTTAAGATTCATTAATTCCATTTCTCATAAGGTTAACATGGGAAACTCCAGAGCCACTGGGGCGGAGCCTATTGGACGGATCACGAAATTGATGGTGTATAAACCTATTCCATGAAATTCTACACGTATGTACCAAGTTTCGTGGCAATCGGTTCAGCGGTGTCTGAGTTTATCACTGCCAAACAATCAAATATATATATATACTAGCTGTACCCGCGGGCTTTGCCCCGTTTTACTTCATAAGTGAGCTTGTTCGCATGGCTCAATCACGTCCTGGTTGAAGTTCGTTCGCTACGCTCACTCACCTTTAGGCTGGAGCTCGTTCGCTGCGCTCACTTGCCTTCAGGTTAGCTCGTTTGCTACGCTAACTCGCCTCCAGGTTGAAGTTCGTTCGCTACGCTCACTCACCTTTTGGTTGCAAATTAGCTGTTGTCATAAATACAAAAAAAAATAGTGCTGCACCCTGTTGGTAATCCTTATAACTTTAATGCTATTGAACATCATAGAACAGAACCAACTTGCTTAATTGAAACAGCTGTTAAGATTCATTAATTCCATTTAAATATGAGTACTCGTAAGGTTAACATGGGAAACTCCAGAGCCACTGGGGCGGAGCCCGAGAGTCCGATCAGAATAAAAACAACTTAGTTTTCCTATTTAATGCCTAAAGAATCAGTGTACCAAATTTCAGCCTCCTAGGTAAATGGGAAGTGGGAGAATTAGTGATGAGTGAGTGAGTGAGTGAGTGAGTCAGTCAGTGAGGGCTTTGCCTTTTATATATATAGATATACAAACATCCTCTTTTATACTTATAGATATATATATATATATGTCCATCCGCACGATAACTTGAGTAATTTTTGTCCGATTTTGATAACATTTGGTTTGAAGGTGTAAGGCGGGATAAACTTGAATGAGTTCGCGAACCAGCATGATCGGACTATGGGAACGGGGGTTTATGGGGGGTTTTATGGGGTAAAAATAGGTTTTTCCCATTTTTGCCCCTAAAAACACAAAATTTCACAATTTCTTTTTAAACCATTTTGTAGAGCTTAAAAAAAAAAATAATTTAGTATATTGAAGCGTTATTATGCGCCTAATTGTTACGGAGAAAATTCAAAAAAATTGTAATTTTAAAATTCCCATGTTATTCTTATGGAGAATAAGTCGACTGTTGCAGTTTGCTTGTTTATGAACATATTTTGATCGATTTTGGAAAATACTTTTATTTCTTACTAAACTATTATCATTTTATAAAAAAATCTTTTTTACCCTCCCTGTTGCAGCAAACCTAAGGTACTTGTTAAACTAATTCTATTTAAATAGGAAATAAATGTGCTATTTTTATGGAGGCATTTTAGTGTAAATCCAATCAGGTCAATGGAAATTCGCTTAGTATGCAGGTTTGCTGCGGCGGGGGTATTTTATATAATCGTATTAATTAATTCCAATGATAAATAAAAGTCATAAGTACAATTAACAATAAATCAAACAATCAATTATTGAGTAAAAACTCAATCCTGGCAGCCCCGACCAGTTGTAACGGTTTGTTTTTATGTGTTACTTCTTTTAAATAATGTTTATTACTATACAGGGTGACAAAAAAGTCTGGAAACGGTTTAATATCTTTTTAGCTAAATCCATTAGCAAATTCAAACCTTTCACATCAACTTACATGTATAAAAACTACTTTTTCCAAGAATTATCATTTTTTTACCTCTACCAGGGGACGGCCCATGAGGAGTACCTAGGTACATAATCTTTAATGTAAGCATAGGTTGATATGCACATCATTTTAAAGGTCTGGTCAAGTGGAGTTCATTGCCGGAAACCGCGTCAAAAAAGGTTCATCCGTTACAAAATGGCGGCTGTCCAAAGTTCTTGTTGAATATACCTGCACAGGCCTTACTATTAGTAAATACTCGTATTAAACATAAGCTTGAGAGCTGAAACTGTATTTTAAAGTCAACTAGCTCATAGACTAATATTATTCAATCTTCAAAACAAATTTAAACGGGTTTCAGATTTCCCGGCTAATGTTGAATATGAGTATTTACCAATACTAAGGTCGCTGCAGGTATATTCCGCAAGAACTTTGGACAGCCGACATTTTGTAACGGATGAACCTTTTTTGATGCGGTTTCCGGCAATGAACTCCACTTGACCAGACCTTTAAAATGATGTGCATATCAACCTATGCTTACATTAAAGATTATGTACCTACTCCTCATGGTTCGTCCCCTGGTAGAGGTAAAAAAATGATAATTCTTGGAAAAAGTAGTTTTTATAAATATAAGTTTATGTGAAAAATTTGGATTTTCTAACGAATTTTGTTAAAAAGATATCAAGCCGTTTCCAGACTTTTTTGTCACCCTGTATAGTGTATATTGTGGGGGTTGAGCTCGCTTGGCAGTGAGCACAAAGAAAGGTACTCGAGATTCG